GCAAATGAGCCGATCCAAGTCGAGTTTTGGCCTAATCGAATCGAGTCTTAACTTATTTTTATTGAACTCGAACTCGAACTCGAGCTCGAGCTTGATGAGCTGACAATTTAAAGTTCGAGCTCGAAAAAAATAAAAAATAATTATTTTATTTTTTAAAAAAATAGATAAAATAATATTTTTTTAATAAATAATAAAATATTAAGGATATATATGTAATTTTACTATCAAAATAAAATATATATATATATATATAATTAAAATTAAAATATATATATATATATATATATATATATTGACTCGAACTCGCGAGTTAACGAGTTTAATATTTTGAGCTCGAGTTCGAGCTCGAATTTAACTCGAGCCAGTTCGAGCTCGATATTGATCAATTCGACTTAAACCGCTCGCGAGCGGCTCGGTTCGTTTGCAGCCCTAAGTTGGACATTGTCTGAGCTTCCACGATGGTTAGGCACAAGTTTAGTTCATTTAAGGTTTTTTCTTATGTTTTTGTATCCTTTTTAGTCCATGACTTTTTAGTCTATAAATAGGGAGTTTATTTCTGAAGTAATCCTTTTTAGAAAAAAACATTCCCAGCATGATGTTCTTTTGTAAATTATTACCGTTTTTATCTTTTTTATGCCACGTAAGCTCCCATTTTAAATGCAGGAAGGTCTCACTTAAATGAACATTCTCATTGCTGTAATCTTACTTAGTTCGTACTCAAAATTCAAATGCCCAAAAACCAAATCCAAAGCAAAAAAAAGGGCAACAAACATAAGATTCCACATTTGATTAACAGATAAGATATTATAATTAAGATGTATTTTATATTTTAAACTCTTCAACCATTCAAGTTCCTTTATATTAAGCCAATAGGATTCGATATTGGGTTTTTTGGAAATAATCATCATGTTACTTCCAAGAATTAGAGATCCTGACTTTTGATCTCCCTATACTCTTTTCGCTTCTTAAGTCCCATCATTCCACTACCAAACTTTTTTTTTTTAAAAAAAAGTTACTCATAAAAAATGAAAATGCTATAATCATTTTACAATAATTAAGCGTTAATCAAATTAGAGTTTTTTCCTATGTTTTTTTTAAAAAAAGTTACTCATAAAAAATGAAAATGCTATAATCATTTTACAATAATTAAGCGTTAATCAAATTAGAGTTTTTTCCTATGTTTATTGCCTCGGTTTTTTTTTTTTATTTTTCATCCTAGAATTTTGCTTTCTACATTTGCATTTCAAGTGCAAATGTGGAAATCAATAATTATGAGGTAGAAAAAAGTGAATAGTATTATAGTAAAGAATAATTTCAAAAACCTCTTCCAAGATTTCTAATAATCTCATGTTGCACACCTCTATATTCAAATATTGTACTGACAATGCTTTTTTAAGGACTCTAAATGATTATAATAATCTTCCCAAACTTTACAAAAAGTAATAAAATGCCTATCAAACTTAAAAAACATATCACCAAGAGTCTGCCCATCACCAAATACTGTATCACTCCCATGCTACTTTTTTCCTATAGTTTCAATCCACTTTTTTTCCCTATACAAGTTTTCTTATCCTTTCCATAATCCAAATCTCCATGTCTCACAAATTTCAGTGTTAATCATGCTTTTTAATTGACTCATCTCTTACTCTTTCTATTTGTTCTCATTTTTTTTTTTTTATCAAAGTTTAATAAACAGTTGCAAACACAAATATTAAATTGTAAATTTGGCCAAAGGAATATGGAGGAAATGATTTAGGCCTAAGGCAAGACTATTCAAGAGTAGGAGAAAAACAAAAATATATTCATTGAATAATTTGATTTAACTATACAAACTCCATAATGAAAATTTGAGGTATTGATATGAAATTTTTCCCTTACATCAGCCACATAAAACCCACAACTACTATTCAGGAAAGGTATGCATAATTTTTTAGAGGCGAAGGGAGCTAAATGTAATTGTCATAAATCTTAGAGCAGGTTTATGATATTATCCCTTAGAACAAGGAGGAGGTTTGTTGATACGAGGTCTCACAACATTCAAGATGGAAGTTCAAGTTGCATAAAAAAGATTAAAAAGGTAATAATTTGTAAAAAAGCATCACACTAGGCATATTTCTTCTAAACAAGGGGACTTTGGAAATAAACTCTATAAATAGGTATATATAGGGGTTTTTGTAATCATTATTCTTTTATCAAATATCAATGGAATATTAAATGATTATTTCAATTATTGAGAGTTTTTCTCGTTTTTATGAATCATTGACTCATGTTCGCCTAACGTTTTTCCTTTGTACGGTATTATATTTGAAGTCCATTCATGCAACGTTTATCTTTTGAAGGATGTTTGCTGCGCTTTCGTTACCGCATCAATAACTTGCAATCAAGAGTGCATTCTGTGCTTTACCTAGTGTTCAATTCACTTCAGGGGAAAAGATTTGTAGCTAACATTGCCCGGTGTATGATATGTTTGCATACAAAGGCTACAAAGCGGTAGACACAAATGATAGGGTGCATATTAGTTAGCAAATTTGCAATTATTTTCTTGTGATTTTGATCAAATATTACATTATTTGATAGATTCTATTTATATTTGACTGTTAATTTTGATGGTAGGAATTTGAAATGAAAAAGAGTAAAAAGGGGTTAAATGAGGAAATTTTCCAGCAAAAGACTCTTAACCAGTTCAGTATGGGCACACCTAAGTCCAGCCTTCGAAGTCCGGGAAATTCTGGATTTGGCATTCATTGAGGTTTCCTATTCTAATTTGGATGTTGGTGGGATTCTTTCCTAATACAAGAGTGCCCTTCATGTGAAACAAATTGATTAGTCCATATTAGAGTAGGAGTTAGTCCAAATTATTCTATTCTATCCCGGTAAGAGTAGGGATTTTATCCTAACAACTAGATCAGTAGAAAGCAATTTAGAAGTAGGGTGGAGACTTTTTCCTTTTTTCTTTCCAAGAAGTAAAACAATGACTTTTGCTTCTCTTCTTGGCCGCATGACTTTTATAATTCTTGACACTTACGCGTGGAATTTTTCTTCAATGAGGAACAATTAATTCTCTCTTTCTAGTCAAGGGACAACGGAAGATTTGATTCAATTACAACTGCGATATGAAATTGAATTTATTAGTTTCTTTTATTCATTGATATTTATATATTTTCTGATTTAATTTCTCATGATTGTTACTTTGGTTGAATATCAAGAGACCGGTATTTGAATTAACGGAATAACCTACTCCCAATTAAGACATTTAATCTATAATTGTTTGACTACCTTAAATTAGTAGTAACTAGTATGATTGAACTTGTGTCAGGTAAACATATGATCTAAGTTAAATGAACCATCGTACTATTTTTATTGATTAAAATAGTGTTTTTCTTGTTTTTAAGACAACTAGGAAATTGAATCCTATGGTCATACCTAGGGTTGTTTGCTGATTAGAGAAATAGTTAATGGTCGTACCAAGTTGATTGTCAGAGTTTGTTGGCAATAATAACCTATTTATTAATGAATAACTAAGATTATTATTGTATTAATGAGCAATTGTGTGACTCACTTCTAAAGTTTATCCTTGGCCAGAGATCTTTTTATTATTGATTAATTTTAATTTATTTTTTTATTTAATTATTTTTGATTAAGTGAATTAATTTATTTTCATTCTGCGCAAAAACTCCCCATTTAATTTTTGCTTAAAAGAAAACAATTTTTTTAATTCGCATGAAGACGAACCTATTTACCGCTATACTCAGTTATATACTTTTCACGGGTAGGATTTTATTATTGTGCATGCTGGACACATGTCAACAAATATTCATCAGCAAAAATGGTGATCGAGCTGCCTGGCGAGGCATCTGGCAAGAGACTCGAGCTTTGTGTCCTACTCTCTGCGTGTGATCTTTAAGCCAATTTTTTAAGTTCAAAGCTTCCGATTGCCTTCCCACATCAGAAACTGAATGTGATCCACATAGAGAGATGACGAAGAAAACAAGATAGTGCACATCTCTTGCCTTTTTTTTCCCCCATCGATATAGAATTAGAGCTAGGGCGAAAAGGCAAACAGAATTATCCAGCCAACGAGTTCACATGTAACTAGGCTTAGTGACATGCTACATTAGACATACATGATTCTTGGCTGTGAAGAATACCCATTTCGAAGCAGTACATGCTTCATTCAATTAGTTTTCACCACAAAAAAAAAAAAAACACCAAAACAAGAACTTCCCTAACTGTCAATGGCAAGATCATCTCATATTATGACCTCTTTATTTTGATAAAAGATGGTGGCAACTCTCAAACTAAAACATCTCAACGCTTTTGGGGACTAATGTAACTTACAAATAATTTGTCGGACCACACATAAAAAGTTGTTGTTCGGTCATAATTAACAGCGTTTATTCACTTCCACAATCCATTCCCTTTGTTGTTAAATGGAAAGATACAGTTTCCTATTGCTGCTAGCTATCGGTGCTTAATTAGTCAGCTATATCTTTAACACTCATATCCATATCCATAGTTTTTTTTTTTTTTTGGAACCTTCCATATCCATAGTTTTTACAAGGGTAAAACATACATCACGTGTGCTTGGAAACTAGTCTTTTGGGAATTATCTGGTTAAACACCATAAAATCCACAAGAAACTATCTATCTTCAAGCAGGACATTGTGAAACCATTTAAATATTTAACCTCCGAACAAATGTAGTCCTTAATTACATGCCTGTCTATATTTTTGTTTGGGGATATAGAGAGAGACCAACTCAATGATAATTATGCGCAGACAATGAGATAAATAAGTACATAAGGATTCTGTTGTTCTTTGTTGTGGCTCGGAGAATATACCAACTGCAAATGATAAGTAGGATTAATACATAAAGTAAAAGAAAAATCAATGAAAAAAATTTGCAATGTAGGGAGAGTACAATAAGCTAGTCAGCACTAAATTCTTTTCATATATATATATATATATATATATATATATATATGATATCTGGATGCTGGATACAAATCTTCCCGACAAAATTCCAGATTCTAAAACTGTTTTCTCTGTCACAAGAAGCTGTTCAAGGGAAAGGTGACAAAAAACCTATGCCCCCCTTTCACCTCTTCCAGCATGAATTTTTTTTTTTTTTTTTTTTTATAAATCCTAATCCTATTTAGTCATGCAACTAAAATTTAAAAAGAAAAAAAAAACATTGGGCCCTTGATCTAATGATAAGAGCCAATGAAAAGGACTCATGATGATGATGATGATATTTTTTCTTTTTTGAGAGGATTATGATATTGGTTTAATGGAGGCATTTTTCTGATGCCCTTCCTTATTCACATGAAAATGACGGTGATGGAAGAGCCTGTCAGGAAGATGATCTAGTGAAAAGATTATGACTCTAGGAAACCAGTTTTTGCCAAAATGGCATTCCTCAATGTGCAAAGGTCTCTTCCTTTGAGAGTCCTCCCAACTCCTTCACACATGGAGTAAGAAACAACTGGACTCCTTGCCATCCTCCTTGCAACAATTTCATGCGGTGGGATCATTTCCTCGCTATCATCATCATCATCATCACACTTCGCAGAATCAGCAGAAAGACGGCCATGATCATCAGCCTTCACAGCACATGCACCTTTCCTCGAGTTGCTGTTGATATCCGGTGAATTCTTGCTGGTACCATAGATTTCGGACCAGTTGGAAATGTCCAAAGGAGCAGATGATTGGTTAGGGTGATGATGACGTTGATGCACCACCAGCTCCACCGCCGCCCGGGGATCAAAGCTGCCGCTGGGAACTCTCGGAACCACTCTTGGAAGAGGAGGAATGCGGCATGCAGATGGAGACTCCTTTGCTTTTCTGGACTTCAAACCTGAGCTGTCTCTTTCCCTCATCGCTCCCCACACATCTTCTTCTTGCATATCTTGTTCTTCCAACATTGACTCCTTTCCATCACCCCCAGTGTCAAACTCAGCCATTGTCAAAAGCCCTTCAGACTTTAAGACCTAAAACATCAAGAAAAGGATAGGGAAATGATGAATTCCCAATATCCCCACCGCCACCGAAACACATGAAATATATAGGCCGAAGGGTTGGGTTTTTGCGTGATGGGTCAGGAGGAGGGTGAGGATGGAATCTAGCTTGATGTGCTTTGGCTCAGCAGGTAAATAGGAAATGAAAAAAGAGAAAGAAAGAAACGGGTTTTGGTGCACCTCTTCACAGAACCAACCAAAAAAGAAAAGTAGGAGTAAGAAGTTTTGTGAGAGCTAGCTAGCCCCAGAAACTAATACCACCTCTCTGGCATGCAAAACTCCAAAATAATTCACAGATTTCAAGGGGACTTCAAAACGAGTCTGCTGCGGTATCAGTGGGAAAAAGACAATCACCACAGAAATACTAGTAAATGACATGGGCTGTGAACTATCTTGGCCATCAGATCAGATCAGAAGAATACGTAACTGAAATAAATAAAAAGCCGAGTTAAAGGGGAAAAAAAGGAAAAGGGATCAGAATCTCAGTTCCCGCAATTTGTTGTTGTACCTTTATGTTATGGTTCATACATACTACCACTTTCTCATGTAACTGGAAACAGTTTTGATATTGAAAGCTGCTTTCTTGGTAGTACGAAAAAGGGGTCTAAAAACGCCCACAGGAAGTTGTAGCTACCATATGGGACAAGAGAAGAGATAGACACACTAGGGAAGCGGTGGTGAGGGGCATCAGGATAAGGGCATTCTGGACTTAGGAGGAGGCACAGGAAAGACCATATAGCCAACTGTCGTGGCACCAATTTTTTCCCACTCTTGATGTAGGGATTTTTTTTTTTTTGGTTTCTGTTGACATTGATGGAATCCATTGATTGCAATAGGTTATTAGTAATTTAGTACAAGGCCATAAATGTGCTTAAATACATAGACATTATCAAAGGCTATAAATTCCTCTGAAGTATCAAAAAAGTCTGGTGTGTGATTGGGTAAGGTGGAAAAGAACACTTGGTGGATGCAGCCAACCTCACACTGAATTCTGTAGCAGGCAGCCTTCTCTTCCCTCTGCCCTTATCCAACTCTCAGTCGTAGTTAGTCGTAGTTAATAAAAGACTTTGCATTAAACCAGAGAAAGGCCAGCCATGAAATGAAATGAATTATAGTTTCTTTTTGTGCCTAGGAGAAGGTGCTAATGCAGTAAAAGCATTTGGTTGGCTGATGCTGCATTGAGATTTGTGGTGTGTGTGTGTGTTTTGGTTTGATCCATCACTACTGGCCCTGCTGTGGATATATCTCGACTATTAGTTACTCTTCATTCTTCAATGCTCCTGGGTTTTTGGATTATTTGCTGAGATGATTGTTCAGTCAGCTTCTTAATTAGGCCTTAGATTCATAGAGATGGAGAAATTTCACACTATCATCAAGAAAGTCCTCAGTTTTGGGATTATAGCGTTGCTCATATGACAGCACAACATATACCAGGAGAAATGAACAGGGTCACATAATCAAATTTTTTTTAAAAAATTATTTCCAAAGTTTAGATTTTTTTTTTTTTTTACCTAATGGTGAACTAGGGTACTGTGAATTTTCATAAAAAATGTGGTGGAAATTATATGTCAGGGGGGACAGGGGTTGAAGGATGGGTCTTCTCAACTTTGGATCAGCAAGATACCCTTTATATGGATGGAGACATCACAATAGGTTGTGTGGGTCAACTTTGCTCAACATTTTTTTGTGCATGAAAATGCTAGTGCAATTAGAGTATGTTTGCAGTTGAGTGACTCTTACCCAATTTGTATTTTTGTCTACCGGTTTACCAATAATTTTCAATCATGTCGACACTTAACAGCGAGGTGATATTAAATATGATTTGTGACGAACATTTTTTATGTTATCTGTGGACTGAGATGGTGAAAGAAAGCATTCAAATCTCTATCACTGAACAACCTTAACAAGGCAAAAACAACAGTTTATGCCACTTAATTAAGTGGCACTTCTTTTTTTTCCCTCTCCTTTTCGTGAAAGAGGTGGTCCACTGGCACCTTTCTAATGGCGATTTTGGAGTGAAAATGTTCTTGTATGCATTTGCAACATTGATTTGAGAACTGGTGGTAACAAGACAGTATGTATATCCATGGTGGAATGTGTGTGTGTGTTCCCCCCCCCCCCATATTGGGACCAGCTATTCATGTCTAAAGTTCATGCATGCGGCATCGAAAAGAAAAAAGGAAAATTTTCGACGATAGAAATTTTACTATGTCAAAGGAGTTAAGTGTAATTTTTCAAATCTGAAGGGAGTTTAGTGAAATTGTTAGAAATCTAAAGGGAGGTTTCTGAAAATATCCCTTATAAATAAGCAAGGTAGTGCCTCAAATTTTTGAAAAAAAAAAAAAAGGAGGAGAAGAAAAAGAATTACTATTGCTTGTAAATGCAATTTGAGATAATGACGTTGAGGGGCCATATATATATATATAGCTTTCTTTTGGGTCCAATAAGTAATAATACCAAATATGACTGAACCTGCCTCATGAGTCATACTCAATGACACCAGATGCCCACTAGCTTTCATGAACCAAATTAATCTACATGCAAATGAGCTCAGACAAATGCTCTTCATGTCATACCTAAACATCTTTGTCCCACTGCCTTATGCTCCCACCCTATCACTACTTAACTAGTATATACATGGGATTTGGGGCAGGGACGGTCATCAGTATGACCGTCCCTGCACGGTCTTGGCCCTCAAAATTTTGTGCGGCTGAGATTACACCATGTAACTCGATTTTCGTGCCAAGTGTGGGTCCCACCACTATCTGTTGTGAAAATACATCTTGTGAAAAAAAAGTTACACGATGTACAAAGAAAGTTACATGGTGTTGATAATGACCAAAATTGGCAGGGACGGTTGCCGTCCGTGCCCCGAGTCCATATACATGTATAGTAGACACTAATTTCACCTTCCCTCAAAGCCTCAAGTTACACCTGCGACTTGGAATTACATGTAACATCAATGAAGACTTGAAAGGTTTCGGAGTTTGATTCGAAATTAAGATACATTTAACATCAGTATTTCTATTTTAGTGTTAGGTCTTAAAAAGATGGGGTGGATAAAACGTTTGTAGGTAGTTCAAGTGTAAAATGAGCAAAGTTACTAAGCACGATTGATAAGCCTAAAGTACGGCTTAATTTAGTGCATGCAAGAAAATAAGCTTCTCAAGTGATTTACAGCAAATGCTTGTTCAAGTTCGAAACTGATGAGAGTCCAGCCAAACTTCTAGAGAATTTAAACTAAATTTTGATAGATACAGTTAACTGGTTCAGCATCACAGTTTTTCCTAAGAAAGTTGTCTTCATTACTGCCACACCCAAGAGCCAAGATGCATCACATTAACTGTAAATAATCAAAGCGCACCAACTCATTGGCTCTGTTAATCACAGTAACCATTTCATTAATTTAGCACAACACGTACTATCTACTACTAACTTGATTTTCGTGGACAACATTAATACAGATTTATCCTTTCTGGTCACCATAACATAAAGATATAGATTTATCCTTTCTCGTCATCATAACATATAGAGAAGTATGCAAAGAGAAAAGGTGGGAGTCCCTTAAAGCCAATAGAGAAATCGTCCACTGAATATGCCAACTTCTGTCAACAGTCGACTTCACAAATCACAACTATCATTTTCACAGAGAGTTGGTCGCTTCAGTGCTAGCCAAAACTTTCTATTACTTGAAAGTTTGTGAGGTTAATAAACTAAGATTCGATCACTCAAACATGTATCAGTAAGATTCGATTACCCCAATATATATATCAGTAAAGATTCGATTGCCCAATATCAATATGTATGTATTATCAATACTCATGACTAAGAAGCATTAACCTTCTCAGGTTCTGCCATTGTGCTCGTACGACATTCTTGGATGATTCTGTTAATTATTCACTCTTTGATATATTCTCTCATGTCACTTCAAATTTAGATTTTGCCATGTACCCATCCACCTTTAATCTCTTTCAATGTTTTTTAGTCCACTCCATCAGGCGTTTACAATCTCTAATTCTCTGTTAGAACATCTCTATTGCACCCTCTTCTTCTTCTTTTTTCCCCGTTTTTCTGGTTGCTGCATTATGTCGTACGTGCATGTAGATAAATCGTATCAGACAGCACACCGCGAAAGTAAATCTAGCATATTACCCAAAAAATAACAAAAAAAAAAAAAAGGGAAAAGGAAAAGGCAAGCAAATCTAGCAAAAACGCATAAATGATTGAATCAGAGAAGATTATTGACCATTTGGTGCAATTGAGGTTTCATGTTTGTGGACAACACATGCTTCTTCGTCGTGTCATGAATCGTGCTGATTGATTGATGGGGAAAGATGCTAAAAGTCAAGAAAAGGATAGATTACAATTTCTCCACGGGGAGGAAATGTGGGCTATCAAATTGCTTTGGACAATATTTGGAAAAGTGTTTTTGGAAATGATAATATTCTGGGAAAGATTAGAGTGCCAAGTGCCAACCCCATTAAGCTGATATTCTTGAAGGTGGGAGACTACTGGCAAAGTGGGTGTAGAAATGGGAACTTAAGAGCAACTCTAAAGTCTACAGCATTTGACAAATGAAGTGCAGAAGAAAGTAGAACCTTGGGGGCCATAGAGGAAACGAAGGCTGCAAATCTACATTTCATGCCTGCCAACTTTTTATCCGGTCAAAACCTTAGAATGACTGGTGCCACCAACACGAACTCTTAACATACACCAAGAAACAAAAAAAGAACACTTTTTTCGTTTTTTGGTAGAGGAACAGAAAAAAAAAATTCTCAATCTCTGTACAAATCGATATTGTTAATCCTATATCTGAAATCAAGCTCAAAATGGCAACGCCAAACTTCTCCTCAATAATTTGCCACCCTTCTCGTAATGATGCCCCCAAAAAACTTTGTCGTTATTGGATTGTTGATAATAATATGTACCATGTACTAAGACTACATTATCTGACCTCAGCTGTGTTCCTGTATGCTGCACAACTTGCAGGAACCACATCCATAATTTCAACTGGCACTGCCTTTGCTTTATTTACAGTAAATGGAATTATATGCAGCCCTACATTGCTGTCTGTGTTGAAGCAAAACTAGACCAGGAACCAGTATTCAACTGTACATCCATCTCTCTGTACTAAACCGTTTGCCCATCCCATTCTGCAGGTTGAACCATCTCACTATTTCTTGTTTTACTTTAGAGCTGCATGATAGAGCTCCAAGTAATCAAGAGCAGGGCGATTCCAAGACCAGTCTTGCTCCATTACTCGTTTGCACAACGAATTGAACCAGTCTCGGCCATCATTCCAAGCAGACAAAGCTCTGAGAAACAGAAACAGGAAGCAAGTTACATCTCATAACCAAGTTAACTAGCAATTAAGTAGGCCCCTTATTTCTTGCTTCCTATCTTCCCCTTAAACACATTTCTGTTCCCACAGCATAGTTTCCTTTACTATTTTTTCTTGTTCCATTTTTTGATATGGAAATAAAAATCGTAGAGCATTTTACGACAGCACTTGG